TGGGAGGCGGTCCGACTTCGCAGACCGCGGTGGACGGAAGGGCCCGGGGGGTGGAACCCGGTGGGATTCTCTCGTCTCACGGCAGCAGGAGGCCAGCCTGATCATCGCCATGGACCTTGCAGACTCTACACTACCACCACCAACCACCACCACCATCCCTCCACTCCCCCCCCCCCCACTGCTCACCGTTACTCCGCTGTGCAGCAACTCCACTGAACCAGAAAGTTAAAAAAAAAACCCTTTCAGCCAACGGAGGGACCGGACATTCCGCTCGCCGCTGCGAGTAAAGGCACGCCACGGGGGGGGGGGGGCGGGGCTGTGTAAACCAACACTTTCTCGGTCCAGCGAACACTCAACCCCACCCCCCACCCCCCACCGCGGGGGCCGTTGTTTTCTTTGGAACGCACAGCGGCTGTGCCGTCGCTCTCAAGCCCGTGGCTTGCTCTGGGGGGGGGGGGTTGGGGGGGGTTGGGGGGCTCGCATAGTTCTCGCGAGCCGGCTGCCTTTCGCAGGTGTCATCACGTGACAAAAATGCACCCCCCGCCCCCCCCCCCCACCGCCACACACCCCCCCCCTCACTTTATTTCTCGCCTCGCATTCACGCCCACCCCCCCCCCAACCCCGCCGACACCACAACCCTCATCACCAAGGCAGATTGCGTAAGCGGCGACGCGCATTGGTGGGAAGTCCGGTAACTTTATTTCGCTCGGTCACGGCCCCCCCCCCCCCCCCCCCCCCCCCCCCACTTTTTTTTTTTTTTGCACGGTCCCCCGTTTTGTGAAAGGTAAAAGCGAAATATATTTAATAAAAAGCTATTTTTTAAAAAAAGAGGGACGCCTTTCGCTCTTTTTGCCCGAATGAACGCCAAAAAAAACCCCAAAAAAAAAAACCGGCGGGTGCCCAAGCCCACGTTCGCGTCTCGGCGTCTCAGCGTCTCGGCGTCCAGCGGCGACGAGGATGTTAACTCCCTCGCCTGCTACGCAGGAGGTCGTGGGCTCGACTCCCCGACGCCTGCTGCTGCATATTTGGAGTTTGCGGGCCTCTCTCCCCCCCCCCCCCCCACTCCGCCGCGGTCGCGTGGATTTTTCCTCTGGGTCCTCCCGGGTTTTTCCCTCCACGTCAAGAATCAACGTTGCGTTAAAGTGCAGCGTTCTTCACTGCCACTTTTTTTTTTTTACCAATCATCGGCAGCGCGAGGGCCGCCGATGTTTCGGGGGGGGGCCGCCTGTCAGGGTCCCCCATAAAAAAGGTCCCACCGGTACAAATTTCCGCATACGCCACTTCTCGTTGAGCCATCCGTGTATGTCCAAGTTCAACACGTAGGCCTTTCGTGACCAACATTAAGATCAAGCGATTTTTTTTTCTGGGTTAGATCGCTTAAGTAGAAACGTCGTTAAACCCGCCATCGCTTAGGCAGGACGTGCCAAGTGGCCAGGTCCGCTGCCGAAAACGAGCTATACAGCTCGGAAAGCGGCTTGACCGGGTAAAAGCAAGTTTTGGTTGAATACTTTTTATAGAGGTCGGTCGGTTCGAGCACGCACGGGCCGCCCTGGCGAACACTGCCGGGCGAAACGAGCCAGCGTCCCGCTTGCCCGCGTGGATGTTGAGGAGCCCCGTGGCGTCGGTGCACAAGGGGCCGGTCGTCCACGGTGCCCGTGCCGTGCCGTGCCGGGGGGGTGCTCAAGGCTTGCATGGGGAAAACCCAAGAGCTGGATGCCAAAGTTCTCGTTGGGTTTTTAATTGCTCACAACACACGCACACACACACACACAATTCAAAAGAGGCATTTTTATTTTAAAGACTTTTTTCGTAAACATATACGAACGACTGTACATTCTAGTGAGTGTTAAGAGAATATGGATCCTAAAAATTGTCCACCTCGCAAATGTGATGTGGTTTTCTAAACAAACCCAATTTATCAGACAAGTGGGAAATTCTGTAAATCTTTTTAAAATGTTCTCTTATCGGTCTTCCCCTACGCCCCCCCCCCCCAACGTCATTGCTGGCACGTCACTATCAGCTTGCTTTAATACTGCGCTAACCACATCTCATGAAAGTGAAACGATATTTTATAACAAAGACATTTTTTAAAAAATATCCTTTAATTCATTCACGTATTAGCCAGCTGGCGAACAATAGGCCAAAGAAGCTCCCCACTTTTTTCGTCTCAATTTCATCCCAAATAAACTTAAAATATATTTTTTTTCATCAGTTAAGGCCCACTGAGCTAATGTAAGCTCTTTTGCAGAAGCGACCAGGCCACAGATGGTAGCCCAACGAAGTGGGCTTATCATCATCATCATCGTCGTCACGTCGAAATTTATAGCAGCCGCATATTCTAAGCGCGAGATGTCAATTCTAAAACGTGAAAGGGGAAAAAAAAAACCAGAGGACGTGGAGAAAAATCCACACGACCACGGGGAGAGACAACATGCAAACTCCAAATATACAGCAGGCGTCAGGGTTGAAATCGAACCCACGCTCCCCTGCATATCGGGCGAGGGAGACGACATCTCACAGCCACCGCGGGGGGTTTAGGGGGAGGGGGCAACCCCACCACACACTAATGTGCGGTCGCCGTTTGCCACGTGACGGTTAAATTAAATTCTCAAGAGGTGAAAGTTGAGCCGAATCGAGGGGAACGAGCGAATACGCAACGCCACAGTTATTCCGTACAGTCCCGTTGGCGACTTGGGGCCGAGACCAACTCTTGATGAGGAAGCCACTGGGAGCGACGCACTTTCAAATCGAAATTGAGAAATCTTTCCTGACAACTGCCTTTTGTCGAATGTTTTTTTTTTGCCTTTTCCCGGCACCTACGGAATAGCACGGTTGGCTACGCACGGTGCGAAAGGAGTTCACCTCGCTACGCCCGAGAACTCGCCCCCGGTTTCATCACAGCTCAACCTATGAAAGTTCTACAGGTTCTCCAAGTCAACTTGTGGGGGGTATCTACGCGAGCCGAGGGGGGGTCTGTACGTCATTCAGTGGCGATAAGGGCCGAGAACATTGGCTCGTTAGCCTTGAGAAAGCATACCTGTCGACCCCTACTGTTTAGCCCGTATTCTTGTACAGAGAAATTGAGTTTTCAGGTCCATACGCAGGATCTCAGCGGTGCCGCCTCACAGTGCTGTTGTCCTCTGAGCAAACTCGACACGTGAGAAATTTTACACTTGGCTTAGCAAAGTAACCACGCGGTACAAATGACCAAACACTTCATAAAATGCATAGGGAGCTTAAGAAAGGCAGTCCTATGGCTTTCACCCATCGCCTCCGAACTATCCACCGTCTACCCAAAAATATGCCCCAACCAACACCCCGCCATTCGCCGCTTAAGTGACGGTGACGTCACCACGGCGCCTGTGCCAGGCCAGGTGCACTTCGAGGCCACGTGAAGCATCAAAGGCTCGCTGATAGGAGAGGTCTCAGGACAGCCCCAGGTGCCATGGCTGACTGGCTGATGCACCAGCTGTACACCCCCCCCACTGTGCCAACTTGCTGTATTTTAGCCGCCCGGCGCTCCGCTCGTTGTTGTGAGCGTCGCTCCTCCGCCCTCCGTTGTTGTTGGATGCGCGACTGCCTCCAACCGCCCAGCAGCGTCCTTCACGAGCTTCCTCCGTCGAGGCCGATCTTGACACCGCTGGTACCAGTCTTCGGCAAGTCCACTCAGCTTCACGTCCTCCCGTACCGCATCACTCCATCTCTTCTCTAGCCCGTGCCGCACCCGTTTAGCCCCCTCGATGCGGCCTAACAGAAGCTGCCTGGGCATGCGGTGGCTGGGCATGCAGGCTACATGACCCAGCCCAACGAAGCCTTTGCTGCCGGAGGAGCTCACCGATGGGAATATTTCCAGATCTTTCAAGGATTGGTGAGCTCCTCACACAATCCAGCCTGGTTAAAGCCAGGATGTATCGTAGGCATGCCAGCCAGATTGTTTCTAACTGGCGCAGATGTTACATTATAGGGGTCTACGTTTCACAAGCATAAAGAAGGGAGGGCATGACTGTGGCCGAAAAGACCCAAAGCTTCGTGCGGAGCGACAGACCAGGTAGCTTCCACAGAGCATTGCGCAGCCGATGATAAGATATTGCCGCTCGACTGATTCGGAGTGAGACCTCTGCTGTCAAACCGGAGCTGGTCATAAGCACACTGCCCAGGTATGGGAAAACTCTCCGTTCTCTCCGCAACTGCCCCATCAACACTGGGGAGGTGAGGGGGTGTGGAGTTTTTGGTGGCATAAAATATCCGGGCAAGTGCTTAGTTTTGGAACTGGCACAATCCAGGTTCAGCAACAGCGCCTCCAACTCCTCCTCTGAGCGAGCAGCAATCACCAGATCATCGGCATACATACATAACGTGGTTGACCAACAGGGGAGCCATCCCTCGACCGCACCCGGGCATCGATCAGTCTCCCGTTGCATCTGCACCGGATGGAAATTCCAACGCCCCAACTGAACCACCCCAGTGGCATTGAAAACGATGCCCGACGGGTCTAAACCGTCTAAACAGCAACATTGCAAACTGACTACCCTGTCAAGTACACTGCCGGCGAATGACAAAACGCAGGAAGAGGCAGTGTCCCGCGTCTCCTGGTGTTGCGTGTGAACGCAAACCACCCCCCTGAGCCCTTGGGTTAAAAAAAAACCCCCACCAAAACGGCTGTGGTGTTCAGGATGTAGTCTCTACCGCGGCGTGTGCAGTTACCGTATCCCACCCGACATATCAGCTTCAGCATTTATTTACTCGCGAAAACCTCGCGAGGTGTCTCTCTCCAGGCTCTGGCTTCCTCTGGAGGCTCTCCCCCTTGCTCAAGGCGTGCGGGGAGGAGGGGGGGATGTTCATTTGCGCTCCCTCCCCCCTCTCCCACCCCACATCCCCCCCCCCCCCCACCGATCGTGGTTTCATTTCCCCGATTCGAACAAGTATAAAATATCTGGAGCGTGACGACGCCGGCACACACAACGGCCAAGGGATCTTCAACGCTCCCCCCCCCACCCCCCCCCCCCCCCCCCCCAGACAGAGCCCACAGCGTTCTTCCGGTTAACACAAAGACCCCCCCCCGTATAGCCTCAACCGACTGCTGTGTGGGGCAAGTGCTGTAAGCGAGTAGCATCTGTGAATGTCGGCACTGCACACGAGGGGGGGGGGCGGGCGGTGGCCAAAACCATGCCAGGCAGCCTCCGTCTCCCCCGGCGGCGATGTTTCGCACCGTGCCAGGTACTAATTTCAGGCCGAGTCGACTTAGGGGAGGCCCAGGGACCGGTTCAGGCGATTGCCACCGTTGGCGTCGGCCGCGAGCGGGAATCAAAACTCGGCCCGCCGGGTTCGCAGCGCAGCGCGCTCCAACCGTTGCGCTACCGCTCCCCACACACACACACACACACGCACGCGCGCACGTGCACGTGCACTCACGCTCACCGCGGCATTAACCGGGGCAGGCCGCAGGGCTGGAGCCGCGAACCCCTGCGGCAAAGCGGCTCGACGGGCAAGCGCCTGGCCCCGTCGTAACCCGGCCACCGCCACGCACCACCGACGCCGCATTGTGCCCGGCGTCCGCCCTGTGGTCTCTCACGCTTCCCCGGGACGTACTAATTTCCGGGGGAGTTCCGTTTGTTCAAAGTCGCGCCCGCGTTCAAGGACGACTCCCGTGGAGCAATTGTAGGGGTGCGTCTCCGCTCCTCCTCCGGAGTGGCCCCCCCCCCCCCCCGTGATCGGGAGGGGGTGGTGGTGCCTCCCCCCCCCCCGACCAGCCACGCCGACTCTAGTTGGGACCTTTCCCTTCCTCTTCGTCGGAGGAGTCTCCGTACTGAATTAAATACTTGAGTCTCTCGTCAGCCTTCATCGTCTTCTTTGGCGGACCCGAGCTGTACCCTTCTTTGAGAGAGAAATATACGGCAACAAACCCAACAAGCCACCCACCCGTCAAGCCAAGCCAGCCACCCACCCACCCGCCAAGCCAACCACCCACCAACCCACCCGCCAAGCCAACCACCCACCCCACCAAGACCATAACACAACCACCCGCCACACAAACAACCCAACCACCCACCAAGCCCACAACACAACCCACCCACACAAACAACCCAACCACCCACCACACAAACAACCCAACCACCCACCAAGCCCACAACACAACCAACCAACCAAACAAACCAACCAACCACGCAAACCAACCACCAACCAACACACCCACCAAGACCATAACACAACCACCCACCACGCAAACCAACCAACCACCCACCCACCCACCAACCCACCCACCAAGCCCACAACCCAGCCATCAACCCACGCACCAAGCCACCAACCAAGCCACCCGACATCACAAACCCAAGACGACAGAGCGACAGAGCGAGAGAGCGAATGTCAGATAAGTCGGAGAGCGAAGGACATTCGGGGAAACAGGAGGAAGGAAGGAAGGAAATACTTTCCAGGGTGTTGGTCCGAGGGGGTTGGGTCCCAGGCGGTGGACGCGTTGGATGAGAGGACGACCCGAGGAGGACGAGACGGGCGCGGCAGGACCACGGGACATGCGACAAGGGACACGAGGACAAAATTTAGCGATCACCTACAGAGCGGCGATGTTGTCAATAGAAGCACTCACAACGCAAACAAATCAGCAAACCGGATTAAGATTTTTTTGTTTGGATGAGGGTGTCTCCGTGCTGCGTGGGGGTTTAAATCGACCGTACACGTCACCGCTTCCGCTCGGCGAAGGCAAGCAAGGGAGAAGGATGCTAAAACGACGACTTGCAAACGAGACCCCACCCACTGCACAGCCGTTGGCTCGCTCTCGAACAAGCGGAGTGTTCATCCCGGAGGAATCCGGTGAGCTACAAAAGCTCTCGTTTTCACACGCGTTCGGCAAAAAGCGTGGGGGGGGGACGCTGCGGCTGCAGCAACTGACCAAGCTAACCCTAACCCCGAGTTCCAGAGGGCAACGCCATCCCGCGCAGGTGGAACGGATGGAGGCGAGTCAACATTATCCCTGTACCGCCCCCGCTGCCTTATCGTGGCCGAGCCAGGGGACGTAACGGCTCCCCCCCCCCCCGCCCCCTACTCCTCGACGGCCACGGGAAGGGACTTTCGCAGCATCTGCGTGCGATCCATCAACCCCCCTCTCGTAGCCTCTCCAGCGCTGGATTGCAGGCCACGCATAGGACCGCCAAATCCACCGTTCAGAATCATCGTGCGTTTCCTTTACTTGGCCTGCGGCCGCCGTTGCGCGCGCACGGCTCCCATGCCCGCAACCACCCGGCGTGTCGAGTGAGCGTGTGCCCGCCCGCCCGCCCGCCCGCCCGCCCGCTCGCCCGCTCTCCCCGCACCTGCGGGCGCAGTCGAGGGGGCCGAGGGTGTCGATGGCGGCATCCTGCCCCTGTCCCGGTCCCCGCCGCGGCTCACGAAGAACGTCGCCGACAGCGGCGGCGGCGGCGGCGGCGGCGGCGGCATCAGCTCGCTGTCGGACAGGACCACCACGACGAGAGCGACAACGCGGACGGAGGCCGGGATCGCGCCGACGCTCAACAAGCTCACACCCCGCGCCTCTCCTCCTCTCCTCCTCCTCCTCCTCCTCCCCCCCCACTCAACGTGTGCGCACACGGTTTAACAAGCGGCCTTTTGCGACCAATATAATTCATAATAGTTGTTGGTTTTTTTTTTTTCCGGGGGGGATTAGATCGCGTAAATATATAAACGTGTCGTTAAACCCGCCACCACCCAAACACGGGTGTGAGCGAGTCCAACCGAGTCGCAGACGTTCTTTAGAGGCAACACATTTGTTGCGACATCAACACCGAACATAAAAGGGGTTATATAATGCCCCTTCTAACTACTCTATACCATACGTAGGAGTTGCAGGGGCAGACCCTCACTCGGGTCCCCGGGCCACGTGTCGATGCCTCGTAGGACGTGGAGCTTCCAGCTTGTAGGAAGCAGCGACCCCCGGTCACTCTCAGGGACCCACCTCATACCCCCCTGGGTCGGGGCCGCCCACTGCCCTTGGCCCAGCCCGGCCTTCGCGCGTTCGAGCTCCCTCTCGGGAGCTCTCCTCCCCGGACACGTGATCACCCCCCTAGCCACCCCCCCGCCACCCCCCCATACCTGGGGGCCTCTCTGTGAAAACTCCGGATCGCGTGTCTACGGGGTCAACCAGAGCACCACGGCCCCCCGGGGGCAATGCCTTGCCGCTGGGGCTGGCAACTCTCCCGCTCACCCCTCGTGGCAGCCCGCTCCGCCCGCCGTGCCCGCGCCTATCCCAGCGCTCGCCATGCCCCGCTAGGGCTGGTGCCACGCCCGCCTACGGGGTTGCACGCGGTGGCGGTGCACCGCGCACGCTCCACGGCCCTCTCGGGACGGCACCATACGGCGACAACTGGCTCGCATGATGCACATGCACAATGTACGTCGATTACCATAGAAATAATCCAACCGGCAATAGACACCCATTGCCGGTTGGATTATTATTTATTTATGCATTAATTAATCCCCCCCGCCACCCAACTTCGCTCAGGAAGGGCTCTAAAGTGACATCACCACACCTACGCCCTCTATTTAAGGAACGGAGCAGGAGGATTCCTCCACAAATCTGGCTGTATCCTGATGAAGCTGGTTGTAATTGCTGGCGAATCGCCGCACTCAGTTGGCGAATGTCGTGGCTTTTGCCCTCCAACACACCGGTGTGCCGTACCAGTAATGAATTGGCGTGTCATGCTTACGTGACAACCCTTACACAAGTTGGCTGTGCTAGTAAGTGGCGGGTTTTAACGACGCATTTATATATTTACATACTGCCCCAACAGCCACCCCTGCTAGCATTGTATAGGGTGCTTCAAATTTGACATTTATCAAGCAATTCACATACATTTGTTATCATATTGGAATAGGTTTTACCCTTTTAAACTGGCACAAAAACTGACACCTTTATTCAAGGCATCGTGTTATATTATCTGTTCTTAAACGATAGTCCCACAAAAGTGGAGCGCCGAGGGTTTTGGGGGCGAGTTGATAAACCGGCGAGCGTGGAAGTCGGGCGAGCGCTACCAGCCGCGAGCGACAGAAAATCACGGCGGGGCGGCGGGCCTAGCGCCGTTTTTCGTCACCTGTCACCAGAGGGTGCGTCGGTATCTCCGCTGCGAGTGGGGTGGCTTGAGGCGGCCGTGCCGGCTGCACTCTGCGAGGAGCCTGCACTCGAGTGAGATAAGTGAATGGGGCCATGCTACAAACACAGCGGAAGGGAGAGCAGCAAGTCAGTTCCGTCACACACCCACGCGCGTCGCTTGTCTCACCGCCGCCGGCAACGCCGCCGCATTGCTCACCAAAGGGCCGTTTGGGGGGCAGCCGTTCACAGGCCACACCGCTAACCTCCGCAGGCGGCGCGCGGTGCCCTCGGGCTGGGGCGAGTACGTTGCTTTTTTCCCATCGTTCAATCGTTTGGGTCATTTTTGTGGCGTGCGTTTTGCCCTACCCCTTCGGCATTGTGGCCCGCCCGCTGCTGCTGGGGGCGCGCGAGCACGTTATGCACGTGCTCGCCCCCGCCGGAGAAACGTGGGATTTCTCCTAAGCTGGCTCAAGTGCCGTAAACGGGAGAGGGGTAGGGCTTCCGTTGCTCTGTTGGAGCGGGAACGCGGGCAGAGACACGAGGCTCAGGGTGGCGACTCGCCACACACCTCAGCCAGGTTTCAACAGCTTCTCCGATGCACCGTAATGATGTCGGCAAAACGACGTCGCCTCTTGAAAAGGGGACGCTGGGCACGTCTTCTTTCGCACCAAACGTAGCCAACCGTGCTAATCGGACGTGCAGTGTTGAGTCTATGGGCAATGTTGAGTCTGTGGGCAGTGTTGAGTCTGTGGGCAGTGTTGAGTCTATGGGTAGTGTTGAGTCTATGGGCAGTGTTGAGTCTATGGGCAGTGTTGAGTCTATGGGCAGTGTTGAGTCTATGGGTAGTGTTTAGTCTATGGGTAGTGTTGAGTCTATGGGCAGTGTTGAGTCTATGGGCAGTGTTGAGTCTATGGGCAGTGTTGAGTCTGTGGGCAGTGTTGAGTCTATGGGCAGTGTTGAGTCTATGGGCAGTGTTGAGTCTATGGGCAGTGTTGAGTCTATGGGCAGTGTTGAGTCTATGGGCAGTTCTAGATTTAAATACAGTACGCAAAATTCGTGATCTGATCCCATCCGTGAAGGATGTCATTCCTGATTTACAGTACCCCGGGGTTTACAAATTGAGTTGTACCTGCGGTGATTGCTATATCGGTGAGACAAAGCGACATGTCTCTGACCGAATTCGCGAGCACAAATCAAATTTGAAACACGGCAGAACGAATTCTTCTGCCGTGGCTGATCACTGTTACAACGCTGTGGGGGATCACGATATAATTTTCTCCGATACCAAGGTTCTTTGCAAACCCACGGGCTTTTATCAGAGATTTGTTCATGAAGCAATTCAGATCTACAAACAGACACAATTTCAACCGAGAGGATGGTTTCAAATTAAGCAAGCATTGGAAAGATGTTCTAAATCGAACTAAACATTAAACTAATTTCAATGGTACAGTATATTTTTCAAGTAGTGGTACCCCAAACTTTCGCAGCTCGTATAAATTCCCTTTTCACACCATCAATAGGTAAACTCCCCCTCCCCCCCTTCCCCCCGCGCCAAACGGCAAGTCCACCGGCACATACACCACCTTTCCTAAAATCCGCCAATCAAATGCTAATTTTTATGCTAATTTCTTTGTCAGAACACCTTGTTTGCTCGCACACAGTTTAAAGGTCCGCTGTCTGAGCGTGGTTGTGTTTCGCTAAATTCTCCTGTTTGATGAGTACTAGGTGCCTCGGTGAATGTATATGCTCTAACTTTAACATAGCTATTTCTGTGACCAGTTACAAGCTAATCACTCAGCTATTTCAATGCTAAATTCTATGCTAATTCCTTTGTCAAGGGGTACCTCTGTGGATGTGTATACTTTAACTTAGCTATTTCAATGAGCCATTTCAATGCTAAATTATATGCTAATTCCTTTGTCAAGGCGCTTTGGTTTCTTCTCACACAGCTTAAAGGTCGTGATCTGAGTGTGGCTTTTTTCACTCCAGCGCTGTCTTCCAGACAGTCTCGTCCCTTCACCTGATGAAGGCCGCTTGTGTTGTGGCCGAAACGTCGTGATTTTTTGTTTTTTTGTTATTTTATTTTCACCTACGTGACTTTACCCAATAGAACCAAAGAGTATGGATCTATGGGCAGTGTTGAGTCGATGGGCAGTGTCGAGTCTATGGGCAGTGTCGAGTCTATGGGCAGTGTCGAGTCTCTGGGCAGTGTCGAGTCTATGGACAGTGTTGAGTCTATGGGCAATGTTGAGTCTATGGACAGTGTGAGTCTATGGGCAGTGTGAGTCTATGGGCAGTGTGAGTCTATGGGCAGTGTGAGTCTATGGGTAGTGTGAGTCTATGGGTAGTGTTGAGTCTATGGGGAGTGAGTATATGGGCAGTGTCGAGTCTATGGGCAGTGTTGAGTCAATGGGCAGTGTTGAGTTAATGGGCAGTGTTGAGTCTATGGGTAGTGTTGAGTCTATGGGCAGTGTCGAGTCTATGGGCAGTGTCGTGTCTATGGGCAGTGTCGAGTCTATGGGCAGTGTTGAGTTAATGGGTAGTGTTGAGTCTATGGGACGTGTTAGTCTGGGGCATTGTTGAGTCTATGGGTAGTGTTGAGTTGATGGGTAGTGTTCATCTATGGCTAGAGTCAACGGGGAGTGTTCGTCGATGGGCAGTGTGTACTTCATACTGAACTTCTTTCGCACCGTACATAACGACACCCTCCCCCCCCCCCCCCCGCACGCCCAAATGGAATCCAAACCACCGACGCCGTCTCCAAACGCGAAATCTATTTGCAGGCGGCTGCGTTCAGCGCTCGTCAAGGGAGAGAAAAGCACGGCGAGCAGCGACGGAGACTCGTGCTCGCCGGAGAAAGTGCGTCTACGACGATCAGACACATTACACGTCGGAGACGCCGACGCTGCGGCTGCCGCTACGTTAGCAGCGGCGCGCACAAGCAACGAATAAAAACTCGCTCGTCAACCGTGCTCGACCGCTGGACTTCTTTCGCGCCGTACGTAGCCAAACGTGCTGACCGGAGGGGCGCGGAGTTGGAACCGTGTGGCCTTAAAAAGGCAGTGTAAATAACGGGCGACGTTTCAGGCAATGGACCTTCTTCAGAGCACGTGCTATGCGCTTGCTATGCAGCAGGGCCCTTGCCCGAAGTGTTGACGACCACATGCTCCTTAAAATAATTTCTATTGGGGTTTTATCATAATACAATCCACAAGCCACATTTTGGTTATTTTATGTTCGTATTATTTGCTTCATCATATATATTTGACGTGTTTCTGTTACCTTCAAGGCAGCGTTATTGCCGAATGTATCGAGTTGTTGTTACTCTCGACACCGATAGTTACATTACGCGTACAATCGTGACAACACACAAGCAGCACTGGTTGATTTCAGCTGCCACAAAGATAAAGATCCCCTTCCCCGACAGCCGACACAGACTCTAGGAGCAAGTGCTGTCAGTGAGCGCCTTTTAAAGTTGGCACGGTGGGTGGGGGGGGAGTGTGCTGTAGACAACACCTCGCCCGGCTGCCTTTGTCTCCCCGGTGTTGATGTCTTACACAACAGACCACGTACCTTTTTAAGGCCGGGTCGAACTAGGGGAAGCCCAGGAGAGATTTGGATAATTGTTATAATAGCTGTGCAACGAACTCCAGATTGACAACTCAATGCGCTAACAACTACACTACCGCTCTACCCACCCAGCAACAACACTCTTTCGTCGTTATGAAGATCCCCTCATATAATCTTTAACAGACTGCTGGGGGGCAAGTGCTATTAGCGAGCACCTACTAAGGCTGGTACAGCAGACGAGGAGATGGGTGGCCAGCACCAGGTACTCATTTGATGCCGAGTCGACCTAGGGGAGGCCCCAGAACCACAGCAGGCAAAAACTCTGAAAGCAGGTTCTAAATGTGGAGGTAAAAGCCGGAGTACCCGGTGAAAAACCCCATGCGACCACGGGGAGAACAAGCAAACTCCAAATATACAGGCTTCAGGGTCGGGATTGAACCCACAACCTCCTGTATATACAAGGCGAGGTAGTTAAGATCTTGCCACCGCGGTACACATCGCACCAGGTACCCATTTGGATGTATATATGCTGAGCTCATTTTGCACCGTACGAAGCCAACCATGCTAATCGGACCTCAGGGGAGGCCCCGGGACCGGTTCAGATAATCATCACTGGTGTTGAACTTGAGCGGGAATCAAACTCGGGTCGCCGGGTTCGAAGCTCAGTGCGCATCAACCGCTGTACTACCGCTCCCCCACACACTCGCGCACAAGCACAGACAAGAGAGGCACTCAATTGCCACACTCTGCAGCAACTCTGCAGCAACTCTGCAGCAACACCGCGCATCCCACATCACAGGATGCACTCGCACAGCGGTGTTTCCGATCCATTCGGGAGAGAAGAGCCGGGGCAATTCATCGATTAGTCAAATAAAATTCAAGTAACAAAAATGGTCACTCCCCACACATCCTGCCTTGCAAAAGCAGGAAACTCCTCTACGAGCCACAACCAGCGTGACGAAGCTAATAATGACGGCGACATCGTCAGGCACCCGCCCATCACCTCCCGTCCAGCGGCACATGGGAACAGAGGTGAGACGGTCTTCTTACCTTCCCTCCCTCCCCCTATTTTGGCAGCGACACGACCTAGCGGGAGTACGACCACGGTTCAAATGAACCGGCTGCCCTGTTTAACACTGCATCGCGTACTAACAATAACAGGACACCATGTGCCTTCCCGCTTCAGGGCGAACGTTAAAGATCCCGTGACGTCATTCACGAGAGCGGCAACGATTGAGTGCCCGCGTAACGGTCCGATTTTCAAAGGAAAAAAAAAAATCATCGCACCGCTAACGACCAAAACCTTGGCAGGACACTGCTGAACAAAGCGTCACTGACAATCAGGGAGGCCTCTCTCGGATAAACCAGGCGTCATAGTCGTACTAATAATAACAACAAAATAATAATAATAATGAAGACAACAGTCCCTTGCTGTGGAGAACTGAGCGGGTGGCACCATGTAGTTAGTTACCTGGTATCCTAGCAGCCTGGACGGGTCGGCCTTGTCAAGCTCTTCGACAAAGCGCCGCTTGCTAGCCGCCACCATCGCAGCTGGCTGCTGCTGCTGTTGCTGCTGCTGCTGCGGCTGTTGCTGCTGCTGGGACACGGGGATTGGAGAACATGCTTACACCGTACAAAAGCGATGTGCACATCTGTAATGCGTGTTAAACGGTGCGCGAGAGCGTCACCCAACGCGCCGATGGATCGTACAGTTCAGGCGAGGAAAACCTCACAAATGGACCATCGGCAGTGGTCAAGAATAACAACGGAGCGGCAGCTAAAGGAAGGAATGCATCTGCCGTGAAGACAACGATGAGATTGGCTAGGTGCGCAGGAGCGAGATGGATTGCTGCATCGTGAGACAAAAAGCCTGGGGAACGACTTAAACTATACCCTATTTATAAAAAAAATAAAGTTTTTTTTTTAATTTTGCCAGCCAAGACCCACTTTTTTTCAGAAGCGACCTCGCCACCAACAGAGTGGCTTATCACGTGGAAATTTATGGCAGCCGAATACTCTAAAACGCGCGTTTCTAAACGCGGAGAGACAAACCGGAGCACGTGACAACGGGGAAGACATCCAAACTCCGAATACGCAGCAGGCGTCAGGGGTCGGGATCCAACCTACGACCTCCTGTACACCAGGCGAGCACAGATAACATCCGAGCAGGTCCATCGTTCACGGCTTCTGCTGCCGATGAACCAAGCGAGGCCGCTAGTCACCTGCACGGGCGGCTGGTACATGGAGGCTGGAGCGGGGTACTGTGCGTACGCCAGTCCTTGCGCATTCGCCGAAGGCTGCGGCTGCGGCGGCGGCGGCACGCCGTCAGGGCCCTGCCACGCCGTTCCAACCGGCTGTGCTTGCATGGCAGGGCGGTACATGGACATCCTGCCGTAGCTGTTCATCTGCGAGTAGCCTGCGCGATTAGCGGGCGAGACAAGGGGAGAGGGTGAAAGGCAGCGGGCGACGTCTGTCACGCTGTATTTTTTTGTAACGCTTACGACCGAGGCTGCGTTGGGCGCAGCAGCGCAGCGATGATGCTTGCGGCCCGCAACCAAGAAAGGTCTGGAGCCTTATTCTTGTGTGGCGTTTGTATGCTGCTGCCCCTGTTCTGCAGATTGTGCAGAGTTTGTACAATTCTGCTCCTGTTCTGCAGAGGGTGTGTGGAGTTTGTACAATTCTGCTCCCTGTTCTGCAGAGGGTGTGTGGAGTTTGTAAAATTCTGCTCCCTGTTCTGCAGAGTGCGAGTGTGTATGATGCTGCCCCTGTTCTGCAGTGTGTGTGTGTGTGTGGAGTGTGTATGATGCTGCCCCTGTTCTGCAATGTGTGTGTGGAGAGCGGTAGTGTAGCAGTTTGCGTGCTGTGCTACAAAGCCGCTCAAAACCAAGACAAGTGACGATTATCTGAACTGGTTCTGGGCATCCCTTAGGTCGACTCGGCATCAAATAAAGTACCTGGTGCTGGCCCACCCACCCCTTCGTGTGCCGTTCTGGCCTTCACAGGTGCTCGCTAACAGCACTTGCCTCAAAAGTCTGTTAAAGCCATGCGGGGGATCTGTCTTGGGAATTTTGTATGTTACTGCCCCTGTTTTGCAGATTGTGCGAGTGATAGTGTGTGGAGTTTGTACATCCTGCTCCTATTCTACAGAGAGTGTGCGTACGAGTACGTGGAGTTTTTTATGTTCTGCATAGTGAGTGTGATAGTGTGAGGAGTCAGTACGTTCTCCCTGTGTTGCACATAGGTTTTCCCACCAAGCTTTCCGATTTCCTCCTGTGAATAGATTTAACTGGTGTTGCCCATAACGTTGCAAAGCTGAAAAATGATCGACAAGTTACTCAATTGGGATGACACACAGCGGAAAAAACCGTTCCACCCCCCCTGCCGACTCGGATAAACCTGCAGAGTCTTGGGGACACGGCGAATGCTTCCCTGGGTAAACATGCAGCATGATGGAGGAGTCGGTTCTGTGCGTACATCTGCAATAGGCAGGCACTAAAACTCTGGCAAAAGATTATTCACAATACGAGCACACCTGCAGCTGCTACGAGAGACTTGTCCGTCTGTAACCTGGAAGGCACTACGACAGTAATATAAATCACTACATGCAGCAATACACGCTTCATTGTTTTACTTGGTACGCAACGTTCTACCGATAGCGCAGCTGCTCACAAGTCGATTTCAAAATTGGTCACATCGGAATTTTTGCTTTTAAATCGCGAGCCTTATTTGGCCACGTTTCGCAAACAAGTGCAGCCTCCGAATCTTATCCACTCCAATCTCTCCGGCCTCTCCTTTGTGCGCGCGTGTGTGTGTGTGTGTGGCCACGGAGAAACGGAACAAAATCCGGTCGGATCGTGACGCGGGCAAAAACCCGGTGAAGTGACGACCAAGTGGCAAAGCGGTGGCGTTGTAGGTGAGTGTAGTACGTCCACGCCCACGGATTCAGGGCGGAACAGCTCTGATCACCGCCGTCGTTTGATCTGGGAGGGCAGTATCGGCATGAGCGCCAAAACCTCACGGTGCTCCACCTTCTGGACCCTCCCCCCACGCGCCCTCGGCTACTCCCGGGGGAAGTACCGAAAAAAAAAACACCGCACTCCTCGACCGTGGACACCAGCGCCGCCGCCGCGGCCGCGGTCTTCAGAGGCACGAGAAACCGCGGTCGAATCGCCAAGGGCAGCCAGAACCGGCGCCCCCCCCCACCCACCCCTCCCCATTACCCAAGCTCTGTGATCCTATATTGGGGATACTTGGTCAACTCCAGTCATGCGTGTGTTCGCGCACGTGGGAGATAAACCGGAGAACGTGGAGAACACCGATACGTGTAGGAAGGTGGGGAGGGGTGACACTCAATCCCTGTGGGGATATTGAACCCACTTGCCGCACCGCCACCGTCTCCTGGCGAAGCCCAGTGGGTTTGCAAGTGTTTCACGAATTCGTGTGCGTGACTGAACAAGCCCTGGTTTCCTCCGCAGTGCTGGATCACAGGCCGCGTGCAGCATAGCCAGCAGCGACACCTTCACCAACACCGCCTTGCCAACGATTGAACCCGCGAATCTTGTTATATTTTTTTTGCGTTAGATCACATATATACAGTGAGGGGGGGAAAAAAAGTATTTGATCCCCTGCTGATTTTGTACGGTTGCCCACTGGCAAAGAAATTATCAGTATATGATTTTAATGGTAGGTTTATTTGAACAGCGAGACAGAATAACAACAAAGAAATCGAGAAAAACGCATGTCAAAAATGTTATAAATTGATTTGCATTTTAATGAGGGAAATAAGTATTTGACCCCCTCTCAATCAGAAAGATTTCTGGCTCCCAGGTGTCTTTTATATAGTTAACGAGCTGAGATTAGAGTGTGGGAGCACACTCTTAAAGGGAGTGCTCCTAATCTCAGCTTGTTACCTGTATAAAAGACACCTGTCCACAGAAGCAATCAATCAATCAGATTCCAAACTCTCCACCATGGCCAAGACCAAAGAGCTCTCCAAGGATGTCAGGGACAAGATTGTAGACCTACACAAGGCTGGAATGGGCTACAAGACCATTGCCAAGCAGCTTGGTGAGAAGGTGACAATAGTTGGTGCGATTATTCGCAAATGGAAGAAACACAAAAGAACTGTCAATCTCCCTCGGCCTGGGGCTCCATGCAAGATCTCACCTCGTGGAGTTGCAATGATCCTGAGAACGGTAAGGAATCAGCCCAGAACTACACGGGGGGATCTTGCCAATGATCAAGGCAGCTGGGACCATAGTCACCAAGAAAACAATTGGTAACACACTACGCCGTGAAGGACTGCAATCCTGCAGCGCCCGCAAGGTCCCCCCTGCTCAAGAAAGCACACATACACATGCCCGTCTGAAGTTTGCCAATGAACATTTGAATGATTCAGAGGACAACTGGGTGAAAGTGCTGTGGTGAGATGAGACCAAAATGGAGCTCTTTGGCATCAACTCAACTCACCGTGTTTGGAGGAGGAATGCTGCCTATGACCCCAAGAACACCATCCCCACCGTTAAACATGGAGGTAGAAACATTATGCTTTGGGGGTAATTTTCTGCTAAGGGGGGAGGACAATTTCACCGCATCAAAGGGACGATGGACGGGGCCATGTACCGTCAAATTTTGGGTGAGAACTTCCTTCCCTCAGCCAGGGCATTGAAAATGGGTCGTGGATGGGTATTCCAGCATGACAATGACCCAAAACACACGGCCAAGGCAACAAAGGAGTGGCTCAAGAAGAAGCACATTAAGGTCGTGGAGTGGCCTAGTCAGTCTCCAGACCTTAATCCCATAGAAAATCTGTGGAGGGAGCTGAAGGTTCGAGTTGCCAAACGTCAGCCTCGAAACCTTAATGACTTGGAGAAGATCTGCAAAGAGGAGTGGGACAAAATCCCTCCTGAGATGTGTGCAAACCTGGTGGCCAACTTCAAGAAACGTCTGACCTCTGTGATTGCCAACAAGCGTTTTGCCACCAAGTACTAAGTCATGTTTTGCAGAGGGGTCAAATACTTATTTCCCTCATTAAAATGCAAATCAATTTACAACATTTTTGACATGCGTTTTGCTGGACTTTGTTGTTGTTGTTATTCTGTCTCTCACTGTTCAAATAAACCTACCATTAAAATTAAGGACTGATAATATTCGTCGCGAAAGCCGATTACGTGTCAAACTGAACTGCTTACCTGCCTGACCGCTCATCGAGTTCTGGTAAGCGCTGTATTTGTCATGAACCTGCGGAGACGGACAAACAAACAAAAACACAGAGCCACCCTTCAGAAAGAAGTCGAGTTCACGTCCTCCATCAGCAAACGCAGGCCTCGTGTTGCACGAGTGGCCCGGCATCACCAAAAAATGCCCTACGGTAAAAAATAAATAAATATACACGCTTATCTTTTTAAACTTGAGCTGCGGCTAAAACTCTCTCTGCACAGCGTTCCCGGAAGCCCGAAGGGAATTGGCGGCAGTTGTTCCGATTAACTAAGCGACAAGCGAACAGTGGCACGGACGCCGTCGCCAACCGCAGGCAAGGCTGCGGCTCCGCACCCAAGCGCAACCACAATCGTGACAATTACCGGCGTTACGATTAGCTTTGCGATAGCTCAAGCAGCCCCGAGGGCCAAAAAAAAAAATCTGCACTGGCCGGCGTGATAATGTACGGTCAAGTCAGTTTATTTCTTTCAGGTTAAACCCCCTAGGCGATGCGAAGTGTTTTTTTTTTTTCAATGGTCACATGGGAAGGGAGGGTTTTTGCAGGGGAGTGCATTGACCAAAAACAGAATTTTTTTGTTTAAATAAACGTGATGGCTAAGTAATAAACAAACTAGAACTATGTACAATGTGACTCTAGTAAGCCATCCAAAATATCCACGATATTATTCAAGGCACGAGTGAAAGGAAACCCGCGTATGGCACTTACATTTACATGTATAACAGGGGGTGGGGGAACTTTTTTTCTGCCAAGGGCCATTTGGATAATTATAACATAAATCCCAGGGCCATACAAAATTAAATTTATGCTGCTATGAAAAAAGCGCCCAGAATTATTGAATGTCGAGTCGTGCGGTTGCCTTGGCAGCGCCAGACGAAATTATTTTGCGGGCCTTATACGGCCCGCGAGCCGGACGTTCCCCACCCCTGATGTATAACAATAAGGAGACCAACTACATTGTCTTGTTGTGGTTTTCACACCTGATGACGATTGCTCGTGTTGCAGTCGAAACGTCGTGAGAATTTTTTATCGTTTTATATTTTTATTTCTTATCTTATCGTTTCCCTTCTAAGTGACTTTACCAAAAGAACCAAGAATATGAATCCCTGCAGTCACGAAAGCTTTAAATAAAAATGTACATTTGCTGTGTGGAATATAACCCCCCCATGACTTGCACAGGGAGAGAAAAGACCCCTTCACCGAACAGTTGCACCGGCACGAGAGTGGCTTTCAAGTTAAATCAAGCTACGTGATGTAATCTGGTCCAATCAAAAGATGATGCCAACTGGCAACGCGCTGCGAGTAAATCACTGCAAGCGCAGCTGTGGGCGTGACAGAAAAACGACTCTCCGATGGCAAATTATAATTAAAAATTACATGACCACGCCTTTGGTTCAAATTGCGCTGGGCTATTGCATCGCGACTCATTCACACAGAACCCGGCAATCGACACCGTGCGCCGTGCATGTCGCACTCTTGAACGACCACTCACCGTCTGGAGCAAATCCTCGCAGAGTTTTCTCGCCAAAGCCAGTTTCTCTGGTCTCGGGTGGCTGAGAATAAAGGATTTTTTTTTTAAGGCAGTTTAAGTTACGGCCAATGGCTGGACAAACGAGTAAGACAACCTTCATCATCATCATCATTATTATTTTTTTCGCACGCTTCGCACAGCGCTACATCTGAAAGCAAATGAAACGTGGTTTAACGTATCAACGGCATGCCCACATATCTACAAACAGCTAATTACTCGACACAGGAGAGAGACGCGTACGGAAACAAAGACAGAGACAAAGATCCCCCCCCGTATAGCCTTCACAGACTGTTGGGGCAAGTGCTGCAAGCGAGCACCTCTCAAGGTCAGCAGGGCTCATGAGGGCGTGGGTGGATAGCGCCACGCCCGGCCGCTTTTTGTCTCCCGAGTGGTGAGGTTTACACGCTGCCCCAGGTACTCATTTGAGGCCGAGTCAACTTAGGGGAAGCCCACGATCGGTTCAGATAATCGACACTGATGTTGACCGTGAGCGGGAAATGTAGTCAGGTCGCCGGGTTTGTCGTGTAGCGCGGTAACAAATATGCAACCACTCCCCACTTTTGTCTTTGTTTCTGTACGCCTCTCTTATCTGTGTCAAGTAAGTATCCATTTGTAGATATGTAGGCATTCCGTTGACATGTTAAACCACGTTTCATTAGCTTGCAGATTTAAGGACAACCCCACACGTACAGACACATCGACACAACAACAACCGCCACCAAGCGGCGGTGACGTCACCACGTCGCTTGTGCCAGGCAAGGTGCACGTGAAGGCCACGTGAAGTGTCGAACGCCCGGCGGCAGGAGGTCACGGGGCAAACCTAGGGTGCCATGGGTTGACTGACCAACAGTACACACACTCACACACACAGCTAGATGCTCCCTCTATCTCTGTTGAGGCCACGTGAAGTGTTGAACGCTCGCTGGCAGTAGGAGGTCACGCGACAGACCCAGGTGCGATGGGTCGACTAACTGAGATGACTGGCTGATGCGCCACCTGTGCCGCTCCTTAGTGCCAACATCAACAGTTGATAGACGCACACACAGGGACATCCCCACAAAGGCAGACACCCTCGCACACACCCACCCACACACCCACCCACCCACACACCCACCCACCCACACACCCACCCACCCACACACCCACCCACCCACAAACACCCACCCACCCACACCCACAAACACCCACCCACCCACACACACCCACCCACAAACACCCACCCACCCACCCCCACACCCACCCACCCACACCCACCCACACCCACCCACCCACCCACACAACCACCCACTCCCACCCACACACCCACCCACCCCCACCCACACACCCACCCACCCACACACCCACCCACACACCCCCCCCCACCCACCCACACACACCCACACACACCCACCCACACACACCCACACCCACCCACACTCACCCACACCCACACACCCACACCCACCCACACCCACACACCCACCCACCCACCCACACACCCACCCACACTCCCACACACCCACACCTGATGTAAATGTAGAGCGGCTCGAAGGCCTCACGTCCGGACGCGTGCTCCATGTACCCCGAGCTGCGGCCTCGCAGGTGAACCTTGGCGCCGGTCTCGCGCACGATGTGCTGTAGGTAGGAGCCGCCGGGGCCCTCCAGCGAGGCCTTGAGGCCAAAGGCGGGATCGGCGTGCTCCAGGCCCACAAACACCTTCTCCTGCACGTAGTGCATCTGCAAGGAAGCGGGTGCCGAGCTGGTGACGGACCGGGCGCGTGGTGGGGGGGGGGAAAAGCGGGCACGCGATGGCACACCGTGGCAGGTCACTGTCGCGGACCTCACAATCTTTTATTTACGGTAACCTCTCGTGTAAACGATTCACGAGACCGTTACAGCAGCTCAATCGCAAAAAAGCTGACCCGACTGGCAATGAAACGTGGGGGGGGGTGGGGGGAGAACAAGGGAGGGACCGCGAAAACTGGCGACGGGAGAACGTGGCCCGAAGATGATGAGAACGACGAAGATGATGAGAACGACAACGATGATGAGAACGACAACAACGATGAGAACGACAACGATGATGAGAACGACAACGATGATGAGAACGACAACGATGATGAGAACAACAACGATGATGAGAACGACGACGATGATGAGAACAACAACGATGATGAGAACGACGACGATGATGAGAACGACGACAACGATGATGAGAACGACGACAACGATGATGAGAACGACAACGATGATGACGACGAGAATGATTCTATTTTAGTCTTGCGTATGTAGTGACAACAGAGGCTGCGTGCGGTGTGAGGGGACTAGTAGTGGTGGCCACGGGAGGTGATGACAGGGGTATCGTCGGTTGTGAGCGCGAAGGGACTGGTGGCTACGGCGATGTTCGAGAAGGGAGCCGTGGTCGGGTGACGGAAGGGGACGGTGGAGTCTGCCGGTGGAGCGAGCGTCCAGAGCCAGCGAGAATGACCGAGAAGGGAGTCGTGGCCCTCGGCCTGATTATCAAGCGAACGTGTCTTCAATAAAGTGCCATCTCAAGAGAAGTGCTTCAAGTCGTCGTTGCACATGCGATGGAAATATGTTCAGGAACTAATTGGCAAAACGTTGAGATCTGCTGGCCACGATGAGAGGCCATGGGGAGAGAGTTTGTGTAGTTTTTATGCTCATCATCGTTGTCGGCATCGGGAGAGAGTTTGTGTAGTTTTTATGCTCCCCCTTCGTCGAAGGGGGGTACACAGACGTTGGGCTTCTCACCAGTCAAGCGTTTTAAACATCACCAACACTGAAAACTAAATTTCTTCAGAACTGCCTTCTGTTGTTCATGCAACCGCTGGAAGAGAGGCACGCAAACTCCAAATACACAGCAGCAGCAGCAGCAGGCGCTAAGGGTCGTGATCGAACCCACGACCTCCTGCACACCGGGCGAGGCAGTTAACGTCTCGCCCACTCACCCCGGGCTGCAGCTGAGCGAGCGGTGCGGACACGCGGAAGCCGGACGGCGCTGCCGAGTAACTCGCCGGCGGGGCGAACGCATTCCCGGTCGGGTGGGAGTACGCAACCGGCGTCGCCTGCGGCGCCACTGGCATCGGCGGCTGGTGGTAGGCAGGCGCCGGATGGTAGGCAGGCGCCGGCGAGTTAGCCGCGGCGGGCGGGGCAAAGCCGACGGTCGGCAGCGGCGCCGGCGGCGGCGGCGGCGGCGGGTACAGCATCCCGGACGTCGCCCCCGACGTCATCGCCGCGGCCGGCGGGTACGTGGGCGCAGCTTCGGCCGCAAAGCCGCACGGGGGCAGTTGGGAGGCTGCGCCGGCGACGCCGGCGACGCCGGCGACGCCGGGGTCGGACAGGGACACGCGCTCGTACAGGCCGTTCCCGCGCACCCACGCGTCGATCTTATCGTTGATCATCCGGACGGCCACTGCGGGACGGCAAGGAAAACAAAAAACAGGACGAGATGAGATCCGATCTGAGCGGCGGCGAGTTCGGCTCGGCGAGGAATTTTAATCGGTGCTAACCGCCGCACTGGCCCGCGCGCGCACGCTCGCAAACACGCTCGCAAACACGCACACGCACGCCCGTCAGTGGCCGCCGCTGCCACGCGCCGGTGCGAGACAGCGTACGACGTCCGGAGAGCAACCGGTGAAACATCGCAACGCTGTGCCGACTCTCACGCTCCATCCGATGGGCGCGTCGGGAGAGAGCGTTCGCGCTGCGCTGACTAACTCGGCAGGCGAGAGTTCGACTCCTGCCAACGGTCAACACCGAATTACGATTAACCTAAAGCGGTGCCGGGCCTGCCCTCGAACGAGCGCTCGGTGCAGTGTGTAAACATTGCCCACGGGGGAGACGATGCCGACCGGGTGGTGGTGTTGATCACCCTCGTGTGCCACGTCGGCCTTCACACGTGTTCGCAATAAGGCTATGGCCCGGAGGATCTTTGTCTCGTCATTTGTGCATATGTAAATGTATAATCGGTCATGGCGGTATTTGTAAACCAATTGAAAACGTTAGTGTAAACACACATTGGTATGCTGCTGCTGCTGCTCCTGCTGCTCCATTATAACCCTTTCCCACTAAGACCAAGAGTGCAAATGCATTGCCAGTGTGCCCTTTGTAACTTGGCGGGGGTGGCAGGTTGTCGCGATGCAACTACTCGGGACTTAACTGGGAGAAAACTATTTGGACCGTTTTGGCCAAAGTATTGCCCGGTAAAAAAAAAACAAAGTATACAAAACAATTACTCATAATGTAGTAGTGTTAGCCAGTTTTCAGAGGGGGGCAGTTTTGACGATAAGACGTCATCAGTGTCGAGGGCCGTCACACCACCTACACAAGCGGTAATTTAACATTTGTGTACTGTCGGGGGGAGGGGGAAGGGCGCACGTCACGGGCCTCACGAAAGGCCACCCAGGGGCCCGCTGGTGGCGGCCCACGGACCTCGTAAATGTGCAACACTGATGTAGCACACTCAGTAACCGCGACACTCGTCGTAGAGCACAGGGCGATCGTCACCAAGGAAGGGGCGCGCAATGCCTCACGGCCGCAGCCTCACAGTCACACAGTCACAGCCTCACGGTCACACAGTCACAGCCTCACAGTCACACGGTCACAGCCTCACAGTCACAGTCTCACGGTCACAGTCACAGTCTCACGGTCACAGTCACAGCCTCACAGTCACAGTCTCACGGTCACAGCCTCACGGCCGCAGCCTCACAGTCACACAGTCACAGCCTCACGGTCACACAGTCACAGCCTCACAGTCACACAGTCACAGCCTCACAGTCACAGTCTCACGGTCACACAGTCACAGCCTCACGGTCACAGTCACACAGTCACAGCCTCACGGTCACACAGTCACAGCCTCACCGTCACACAGTCACAGCCTCACAGTCACAGCCTCACGGTCACAGCCTCACGGCCGCAGCCTCACGGTCACACAGTCACAGTCTCACAGTCACACAGTCACAGCCTCACAGTCACACAGTCACAGCCTCACAGTCACACAGTCACAGCCTCACGGTCACACAGTCAGTCTCACAGTCACACAGTCACACAGTCACAGCCTCACAGTCACACAGTCACAGCCTCACGGTCACACAGTCACAGCCTCACGGTCACAGTCACAGACTCACAGTCACAGTCTCACGGTCACAGTCTCACGGTCACAGTCACACAGTCACAGCCTCACGGTCACACAGTCACAGCCTCACGGTCACACAGTCACAGCCTCACGGTCACACAGTCACAGCCTCACGGTCACACAGTCACAGCCTCACGGTCACACAGTCACAGCCTCACGGTCACACAGTCACAGCCTCACGGTCACACAGTCACAGCCTCACGGTCACACAGTCACAGCCTCACGGTCACACAGTCACAGCCTCACGGTCACAGTCACAGCCTCACGGTCACACAGTCACAGCCTCACAGTCACAGCCTCACGGTCACACAGTCAGTCTCACGGTCACACAGTCACAGCCTCACAGTCACACAGTCACAGCCTCACGGCCGCAGCCTCACAGTCACACAGTCACAGCCTCACAGTCACACAGTCACAGCCTCGCGGTCACACAGTCACAGTCTAACGGTCACACAGTCACAGCCTCACGGTCACACAGTCACAGCCTCACGGTCACACAGTCACAGCCTCACGGTCACACAGTCACAGCCTCAGGGTCACACAGTCACAGCCTCACGGTCACACAGTCACAGCCTCACGGTCACACAGTCACAGCTTCACGGTCACACAGTCACAGCCTCACGGCCGCAGCCTCACAGTCACACAGTCACAGCCTCACAGTCACAGCCTCGCGGTCACACAGTCACAGTCTCATGGTCACACAGTCACAGCCTCACGGTCACACGGTCACAGCCTCACGGTCACACAGTCACAGCCTCATGGTCACACAGTCACAGCCTCACGGTCACACAGTCACAGCCTCACAGTCACACAGTCACAGCCTCACGGTCACACAGTCACAGCCTCACGGTCACACAGTCACAGCCTCATGGTCACACAGTCACAGCCTCATGGTCACACAGTCACAGCCTCACGGTCACACAGTCACAGCCTCACAGTCACACAGTCACAGCCTGACGGTCACAGTCACAGCCTCACAGTCACACAGTCACAGCCTCGCGGTCACACAGTCACAGCCTCACGGTCACACAGTCACAGCCTCACGGTCACACAGTCACAGCCTCACGGTCACACAGTCACAGCCTCACGGTCACACAGTCAGTCACAGTCTCACGGTCACACAGTCACAGCCTCACGGTCACACAGTCACAGCCTCACGGTCACACAGTCACAGCCTCACAGTCACACAGTCACAGCCTCACGGTCAGTCACAGCCCCACGGTCACACAGTCACAGTCTCACGGTCACACAGTCACAGCCTCACGGTCACACAGTCACAGCCTCACGGTCACACAGTCACAGCCTCACGGTCACACAGTCACAGCCTCACGGTCACAGTCACAGCCTCACGGTCACACAGTCACAGCTTCACGGTCACACAGTCAGTCTCACGGTCTCACAGTCACAGCCTCACGGTCACACAGTCACAGCTTCACGGTCACACAGTCAGTCTCACGGTCTCACAGTCACAGCCTCACGGTCACACAGTCACAGCTTCACGGTCACACAGTCAGTCTCACGGTCTCACAGTCACAGCCTCACGGTCACACAGTCACAGTCTCACGGTCACAGCCTCACGGTCACACAGTCACAGCCTCACGGTCTCACAGCCACAGCCTTACGGTCACACAGTCACAGTCTTGCGGTCACAGTCCGCAGCGGTTTCGGTAGGGGGGGGGGGGAGCGGGCGAGATGTTGCCGCGTGCAATCCCGATCGAGTCAATTTTGCAGGCCCATTTTCAAATTGAGCAAACGCGGAGGCCGCGATGCCGGTACGCACACGGCGGCCTGCGGTTTTGCGACGACGGCACGGGGATCTTTGGCGCGCAGTGTTATTTATTACGGTCAACATGCAACGCGGCAGCAATGACCGCGGTAGACCAGAAGGGTTTATAGAACCGCGAGCCATTCCCGCAACGAGCGGCCGGACGCGCTACCCCTGGGCCGAGTTACCGGCCCAACGAGCCGTGCCCGTTGGGCCTGTCCCCCGCTGCGGAGATAGGCAGGGCACAGGTACCCCGAGCAGCCCTGAAGGCGAGCGTCAGTGCGCTGTAGGTGAGTGCTAGTGCACCAAACCCACGGACTCAGGGCATGAGGCATCTCGTGTCACCGCCGTCGTTTGATCTGGGAGGGCAGTATCGGCAGGAGCGCCAAAACCTCACGGTGCTCCACCTTCTGGACCCTCCTCACCCCCCCCCCCACCATCCCCCCCAAAGAAGATTTCCCAGCCATCAATAAACGAAAACCCAACACTTGGGATGCAGGAGGTCGTGTGTTCGATCCCGACCCTGACGCCTGCTGTATATTTGGAGTTTGCGTGTCTCTCTCTCTCTCTCTCCGTGGTCGTGTGAATTTTTCTCTAGGGACCTCCGGTTTCTCCCTCCACATTTTTGAATCAACATCACCAAGGGTTTAGAGTGATTTGGCTGCTATATATTTCCACACGACGATAAGCCACTTCGTTGAGCCACCATTTGTGGAACGCCAGGTTGCTTCCGGAAAAGACCTATTCGGTAGCTCAGTGGGGCATCACCTGGTAAAAATAAAAATGCTGCTCTCCAACGCGTCTCTTACTTTTTTCCATTTTCAAAAACACGATTGGCGAGCGCAGGCCCAAAAAAATGGCAAGCGGCCAGCATCGAACAGCGCCGCCGAAGGTTAAAACGAATTAACTTGCGCCGCTACATTGTTTTTTGTTGTTGTCGGGTGGTGGAGGGCTTTCACGGTTCTGACACGACTACACCGAGACGACCTCGCACGACAAAACAAATCAATTGTGAATCGTAACGTCGGTCGCGAAAGACTACGTACGAGATTAAGCGCGATCAAAGCGGTGGGGTGATCAGGGTTAACGCGTTACTTGAAATGAGCAAGGTTATTATTATTATTTCAAGACCTTGTGGAAAGAGATGAGGGGGGCAGCATTACAAAGTGGGGAAATGGTGCAGTCGGGGCTACATCGCATTAGCACGGTTGGCCACGTGCAGTACGAAAGAAGTTTTACATGCATGCATTCTGGTACTCACAGCTCACGCTATCCGCGCCGCTCCCCTTGATATGAAGGTGAAGTGGCTGGTCGCTGTCAACAAATGAACGATTTGCACAAGATTAAAACACAAACCTCAGGTTAAACCAATTAAACAAGCTTCACGGTCACACACTTTATGCCCGAGCAGACGGTCGAGGCTCGCGAGAGAGAGAGAGCCCAAGCAGCAGCAGCAGCAGCAGGTGTATTGCCGAGCGCACGTGTTCACCCGATTTCATGCAACAGATGCCACTTGTGTTTAGTTTGCCGTCCTTCCTCCCCCCGCGCCTCCGATTAGCACGGTTGGCTATGTACGGCGTGAATCAAGTGCAACGTATATACAACAGACGTGTTCAGAACTGCTCGTGCAACACGCACAAAGTAGCACACTGCTCCATGACTCCGCATGAGCAAAGCCATCCCCCCTAATAGATGCCGCGTGTATCCTGCACCACCGGTAAAAAGAGAACCACGGCCCTCAGGAAAGGGCCGCCAACCTCGTTTGTGCAGCGTTGTTCCTCGTTCGCGCACGTTGAGCGTTAGAATATCGTCTGTGCGAGTCGCACGCGGTGAATTCTTACACGAGCGAGGCATAGCGCGGACAATGATCGATGTTTAGTGACGATTCAATGTGAAGGACTCTGCTCATGTGGCGGTCAACAGAGCTTTCATTATTGACGGCCCATGGGTAACACAACAGGTGACACAGCAGGTAACCAAGGCAAAGATCCCCCCCCCCCCCCCGTATAGCCTTCACAGGCTGTCGGGGCAAGTGCCGTTAAAGCGAGCACCTACGAAGGGGCTGGGCGGCCAGCACCACGATCGGCCGCCTTTGTCTCCCCAGTAGCGACATTTACGACACACCACACTCACAATCCACTCACACATGCTCACACCGATGCTCTGTAGAACACGGGAAGAGAGAACGTACAACCTCCGCACAGAAATGTAGCCAGATTCGGCAATCGAACCTAGGACCTGAAGCTACCGTGCAGCCCTACGAGCAGTTCATTATTAAGTAGCCAACTTACTCGGGAGAAGCCACTGCCTTTTCCTCCGGAGTCATGTAGCGTCCTCTGGTTGACACCACTGTGCCAGTCTGCTTACTTATCTGCAAATACAAGAGTCAAGTTACACAATTATTAATAACCAAACAGTACACACACTCATGATGAAGACGCGCGCGCACCCAAATTATTTCACGAGCTTTGTATGTTGAACTTCTTTTGCACCGTACTAGTCAACTGCGCCAAATCGGAGATGCGGGGGAAGAACGGGCCGAAGAAGCGCATCCGAAAACCGTGCGATGCAGTGGCCGTCTTTGTTCAATGGTTAGCCTAAAGCCGCTGCTGCAAGGATGTTTATAATGCACCTCGACGAGACCAGCGAGGCATTGTGGCTCATTTGTGACGGGCACTTTGCGCGCGCCGTGAGTGGGACCTCATAATAACGTGTCGGTTCGGCAACCAATGCAGCTCTGCGAGCACTGGACCGGGTGTGGTTGGATCTCGCAGTACCCGTCGCGACACGTGCCAGAGAAATTTCACGTCCAACCAGCCCCTTACCAAGTTACCTGGAATTATTATCATTAATATATATATTTTTTAGCGTTGCTACTACTGCTGAATTTGCAAGGGGTGCACAAGCACACATGACAAAAGAACACCCTCGCCACGTCCGGCAATAACACCGTGTGGCCTTAGAAGGGAGAAATTATACAATCGGCGACTTTTTGCGGTCGATGGGACTGTTCCATCGCTCCCCGAAATGTCACCGATCGTACAGCAAGTCCTCGTTTAACACAGCAGATGCTCTCCTGAAATCGCCGCGCCGAGCGAAAACATTGTCCCCACAAATAACGTGATGAGAGAGCTTGGCGAGAAACGGCGCACGCACACGCAGCGAGATGGCGGGGCAAAGAACAGAGGGGGGCGCCGCCGCGCTACTGTACCATTCCGCGTACTGTATCACTGCACCGCGCCTGGCGCCGGCTATAATAGAGTGCGGCCGTGTCGCTGCAGTTCACTTCGGAAAGCACGTCGTCTTTAAAAACAATGGCGGTACCACGCCACGGCGGGCCACTTGCGCGTTCCGAGATTCAGCTGTGAAAGGTGACCCACATCCTGCAAACTTGCGGAGTATCTCGGAACGGGGGGAAAAGGGTCAATTGTCCAAAAAGTTTGTGAACCTACACGTGCCTGCGAGTTGAAAAATCCGAAGCCTCGCGAGACGTGGTCTGCTTGAACGACGCTGCTATATATATATACACACACACACACGCGCGCTTGCTAGTACAGCTCATCATTGTCGTCGTTAGTACCTCCTCCTGCACTTGCACGAGGGTGATCTTGTTGCGACTGGCGGCAGGAATGTCGTTGATGTCCAGGTTGACCTGCACCTTCTCATGGGACGACTTCGCCATTCCGGGAATAACCTGCTGCACGCACAAAGACAAAGATCCCCCGTATAGCCTTTAACAGACTGTTGGGGAAAGCGTTGTTCAGGAGGACATATAGTGAGGGGAAAAAAAGTATTTGATCCCCTGCTGATTTTGTACGTTTGCCCACTGACAAAGAAATGATCAGTCTATAATTTTAATGGTAGGTTTATTTGAACAGTGAGAGACAGAATAACAACAAAAAAATCCAGAAAGACGCATGTCACAAATGTTATGAATTGATTTGCATTTTAATGAGGGAAATAAGTATTTGACCCCTCTGCAAAACATGACTTAGTACTTGGTGGCAAAACCCTTGTTGGCAATCACAGAGGTCAGACGTTTCTTGTAGTTGGCCACCAGGTTTGCACACATCTCAGGAGGGATTTTGTCCCACTCCTCTTTGCAGATCTTCTCCAAGTCATTAAGGTTTCGAGGCTGACGTTTGGCAACTCGAACCTTCAGCTCCCTTCACAGATATTCTATGGGATTAAAGTCTGGAGACTGGCTAGGTCACTCCAGGACCTTAATGTGCTTCTTGAGCCACTCCTTTGTTGCCGTGGCCGTGTGTTTTGGGTCATTGTCATGCTGGAATACCCATCCACGACCCATTTTCAATGCCCTGGCTGAGGGAAGGAGGTTCTCACCCAAGATTTGATGGTACATGGACCCGTCCATAGTCCCTTTGATACGGTGAAGTTGTCCTGTCCCCTTAGCAGAAAAACACCCCGAAAGCATGTTTCCACCTCCATGTTTGACGGTGGGGATGGTGTTCTTGGGGTCATAGGCAGCATTCCTCCTCCTCCAAACACGGAGAGTTGAGTTGATGCCAAAGAGCTCCATTTTGGTCTCATCTGACCACAACACTTTCACCCAGTTGTCCTCTGAATCATTCAGATGTTCATTGGCAAACTTCAGACGGGCATGTATATGTGCTTTCTTGAGCAGGGAGACCTTGTGGGCACTGCAGGATTTCAGTCCTTCACGGTGTAGTGTGTTACCAATTGTTTTCTTGGTGACTATGGTCCCAGCTGCCTTGAGATCATTGACAAGATCCTCCCGTGTAGTTCTGGGCTGATTCCTCACCGTTCTCATGATCATTGCAACTCCACGAGGTGAGATCTTGCATGGAGCCCCAGGCCGAGGGAGAGTGATAGTTCTTTTGTGTTTCTTCCATTTGCGAAAAATCGCACCAACTGTTGTCACCTTCTCACCAAGCTGTTTGGCAATGGTCTTGTAGCCCATTCCAGCCTTGTGTAGGTCTACAATCTTGTCCCAGGCATCCTTGGAGAGCTCTTTGGTCTTGGCCATGGTGGAGAGTTTGGAATCTGATTGATTGATTGCTTCTGTGGACAGGTGTCTTTTGTACAGGTAACAAGCTGAGATTAGGAGCACTCCCTTTAAGTGTGCTCTTAATCTCAGCTCGTTACCTGTATAAAAGACACCTGGGAGCCAGAAATCTTTCTGATTGAGACGGGGTCAAATACTTATTTCCCTCATTAAAATGCAAATCAATTTATAACATTTTGACATGCGTTTTTCTGGATTTTCTTGTTGTTATTCTGTCTCTCACTGTCCAAATAAACCTACCATTAAAATAATAGACTGATCATTTCTTTGTCAGTGGGCAAACGTACAAAACCAGCAGGGGATCAAATACTTTTTTTCCCTCACTGTACTGTATGAAGGCTGGAACGGTACACGAGTGGTTGGGTGGCCAGCACCATGCCCGACCGACCTTGTTTTTAGTGGGGATATTTACACACCGGACCAGGTACTCATTTGAGGCAGAGTCGACCTAGGGAAGGCCCAGGAGCGGTTCAGATATTCGTCAATGGCGTTGGCCGTCAGCGGGAATCGAACCCGGGTCGCCGGGTTCACAGCGCAGCAAGCTAACCACTTCACCACCGCTCCCCATGCACACAAACGCACAAACGCACATACGCGCGCACGCACGCCGTCAGTGGCCATGTGCGAGACGTTGTGTTCTCCTATAATGTGGAAGTTGCGTTCCTGAAGAACACCACGCGACCTAACCCACAAAAAAACCCTCTCTATTATGGATATTGTTCGCAAAAGCCTACGTGTTGAAGCGGCCCGATTGATCGTGGGCTAAGAATGACGGCGACGACAGAGACGTCGTGGCCGGAGCCCGCACCGTGTCGTTGCCGGTCTTCACGCTCACGTTGGCGGGCGCCTTGAGCTTCCCCCTGGCCATCAGCATGCTGTTGATGCGCGCCGCGGCAGCGGCGGCAGCCTCCAGAGCACACGGCACCCGCTCATCGCTGGTACCCGCCTCGTCCCACTTGCTCCGCCGCCTGCATCACATCACCACCACCACCACCACCACGCACAGCGTGGAGAGACACCGTCAAAACAAATTACACTTCTATAAAGTCCATAACAAAGGGGGGTTTTTTTTTGGGGTTACATCGCGTGAATATAATTGCGTCATTAAACTCGTCACTACCTGCCACAGCCAATTCAGAATCAGAGTATTTATTCATACTGGAGGAATTTGATGAGCTATAAAGCTCTTTCACAGATGCCCGGTAGTCGCGGGTCGTAATGGTTTGTCACGTAAACAACACGTGCCAGTTAGTTACTGCTTCAGCGCACCGATGTGTGGGAGAGTAAACCCACAACATTTAGAATTCGAGTACGACGTTCCGCCGGTGGTCAGGCGATAGCTAGAATTGTGAAGAAGTCCTTCTGCCTTGGTCTTAAATGGAGTAAAGGTGATGCCATCACTGTGAGCCTATCAGGTGCGAAGACCAGAGGGGGGGTTAATGTGGTCATATTTAATCACAATGGATCATGTTAATCTGAGAATGTGGTCGCAAAAGCCGACTTGTTAAACCGACTGCTGTAAAGTATTTGGGCTGCTGTACATTCCCACGTAAGCCACTTCGATGAGCTATCATTTTCGGTCATGTCGCTCCTGAAAAAGGGCTATATACTGGCACAAAAACTGACACCTTTATTCAAGGCATCATGTTTGCAATAACCACAACACGACCAATCAAATTCAAGGACAGTGCATATTATTATCAGAGTTGTCTCTTTTGTTTGCATTTTGACTGCTTGTGTTGTGGTTATTGCAAACATGATGCCTTGAATAAAGGTGTCAGTTTTTGTGCCAGTTAAAAAGGGTAAAAACCTATTACTATAACTTGTTACTGGCAATGGAGGTCTCATAATGTAAATGCTCACCCCGAGCCCTCAATACTCTGACAGTGCGCTGTTTTTGAGTTGTACGCCTTTTGGCGTCTTCTGGTCCAACACCAGTGGAGACTAAAGGGCTCTAAGAAAAGCCGTCTCGGGTGTGGACCAATCAAATTCAAGGACAGTGCATATTATTATCAGAGTTGTCTTTTTTGTTTGCATTTTGACTGCTTGTGTTGTGGTTATTGCAAACATGATGCCTTGAATAAAGGTGTCAGTTTTTGTGCCAGTTAAAAGGGTAAAGCCTATTACTATATCTTGTTACTGGCAAAGGAGGTCTCATAAAGCTATATACTATGTAGCTCGGTTGGTTCTCACCTGGTAAAATCTAAAGTTTATAGTTTTTTTTACACTCCCCCAAGCCTGTGGGTCTCTGTCCGATGGACGTGGTGAGATTTAATAAGCGTGCACGATTGTATCGATCGATGCTCAGGGAGACCGAATTGGCCTCGGTGCCCTCTGGATTAGCAAATTGTGTTGGTGATGCTGCTGCGTCGGCAGTGGTGCACACAACTAAAATATTTAACACGTTCCCCCTCAATAACACTGTGCTCAAAAAAGCCGAAGTATATAAACTGGCGGCGTTTTGTGATATGACCCCTGCTACATCATTAGGCCTCCTTTGCCAGTACCAAAATACAATAACAGGGGTTTTCCCCTTTTTTCTGGCAACAATACTGAAACCTTTTTATGAGGATTCATGTTACTGTATTAACCACAATACTTGGCAGTCAAAATGCAGAGTGTGTGTTTTTTGCTTGCATTTTTACTGCAAGTATTGTGGTTAATGCAGACATGAATCCTTGTAAAAAGGTTTCAGTATTGTTGCCAGAAAAAAGGGGGAAACCCCTATTTTTATTACGTGACCCCTCTTCATAGCACAACATATTTGCACTATTGAGGGCATTGCAGGTACTCGCATTGCCTTTGAACGGTTCGCGTGTTGGCGTTCTGGCCAAACACTGGCGTGAGACAAGGCTATTTAAAGAAGGCCGACTCTGGTGTGGGCCTATCAGTTTCAAAGAAAATGCATATATTACCAGAGCACGTTTGTTTAGATGTTTTGCCACAAGTATGTGCGATGCCTTGCAATAGGTGTGTCGATTTGGTGTTTGAACATCTTAACACCTCCTGCTTTATTGCCAAAAAAGGGTGAAGCCTATTCATATTTTTTCACCATTTTTAATCCTGCCAAAAATTTCCTACAGATACAGGATATTTTTTTGCGTTTATGGCCATAAACCTTGAAGGCCCCTTGGGTTCGATTCACCTTTCTGTGTGACGTTTTTTTACATTCTGAAACTGTTCACCATGGGTTTCCTCCCACAGATAAAACATTTTACAGCAATAAGCACACACTGTAGCTGGTATTGGCCAAACAACATCTCGATGCAGAGAAATAACCTTACAAATAACTCCATGGCGATTACATAACTCGAAATAATCATTAGCGTTGTTGCAGAAAACAGTATACTACTCCATATCCGTATCTTGAAACAAAAACAACTTACACAACACATCATCCACGTGGCCGTCTGGGAGTGCATAATTCCGGCAGCATTGATTAGACACAAGCAAACTATGGAGAAGTTTCGATATTTAGTGTCTCGTCAGCAGTCTAATACATCAATGCTGGTGAACTGCTGATCTTAACTGGCATGGACCGTACCTTTGTGATATCGATACGAAATTATATTAGCATACCTGTCAACCCTTATCAGTGCCTACCTTATTATAGACCAATTCAGACCTTGTTGGTCACCCCGTGCCTTTATAAATCTCAACGTCCATCACACAAAGTCCCGTATTGAAACGGCTGTACGCCGTATGGACCTGAAAACTGAATTTTCCTGTACAAAAATACAGATAATCCATAGGGTTGGCAGCTTTGTATTACACATAAGTCAAAACTATCACTACTGTCGCAGTGGAAAATGTAAATACGGATATTACACATGAAACATGAATCCCCACTTAAGACTTTGCAGGACCCTTTCGAAATAATTGAGACTTTAAAGGCTTTCCTTGGTAGACATGCGTCATCACAGATTATACGTGCATACTATTCCTGCGCCTGGCAATGTGTTCAGCAAGCTAAATGTGTACCCATCACTCACTGCTGATGTTATTCGTTCGTGGGTGTACGGTAGTTACATTATTCGCTGCTGGATAGGGGTCTCCCTCACGCCTCTGTGGGACCGTGGTGGCTTGATGGATCAGCATAGTCACTTGAGCACTGCACTTTTACATCATCTAGATTGAAAACTAATTTCTTTGGAACTGATTTTTGTGATTACTTTGTTGTCCCCCCCCCTCCACACGTCCGATTAGCGCAGTTGGCTACGTACGGTGTGAAAGAAGTTCAATGCAGCCTCACACAGAGACGACCCACAGACTCACGCAGAGACTCACAGCTTCACACAAAGACCCACAGAGACGATCCGCAGACTCGCACAGAGATCCAGAGACGACCCACAGGCTCGCACAGAGACCCACAGACTCGCACAGTGACCCACATAGACGACCCACAGACTCACAGAGACGACCCACAGCCTCACAGAGACGACCCACAGCCTCACAGAGACGACCCACAGACTCACACAGAGACCCACAGACTCACACAGAGACCCACAGCCCTACACAGACACACAAACTCACACAAGAGACCCACAGCCTTACACAAAGACACACAGACTCACACAGAGGCCCATTGACTCACCCAGAGGCTCATAGTTTGTTGCCCTTCCCCCGAACCTCCGATTAGTGCGTAAAGAAGTTCAACGTACATACTTCACCAATTTAACACGTACGCTTTCGCGACCAATATCCATAATAGTGTTTTTTTGGGGGTTAGATATCGTGTTTTTTGGGGGGTTAGATATCGTTAAACCCGCCATCACCCGACACAGCCAATTAGGAAGGTCTGTCACGTAAATATAAAATGCCAATTCGTTACTAGTACAGCACACCAGTGTGTTGGAGCGCAAAGCCACAACATAAAAAAACACCTGTATTATGGATATACTTCACCAAGTTGGCGAGACGCGGGTTATTGACAAGTCGGGGGGGGATCATAATACAACACGAAACACTCCACTACATATATTTACACACCCCCAATGAATATAAGACAATAATAATGTAGCTATTGAACATTTAAATCGCAAGGTATGCATACAATAACAGTTGAGAAGTCGGGGGGGGGGGGAGATCACCCAACACGGAACACTGCACTATATATAAACACACACTCATGACTGTAAGACAATGTAGCTATTGCACATTTAAATCGCTCTTGAATCGGGTGCAACCACAACAAACAAAAAACACGAACACAACACGCAGCACTACACTACATACACACACTAATGAATATAAGACAATACGAATGTAACTATTTAACATTTAAATGGCAAGGTGGTGGATACAATAACAACAGCCTTTCCGGGTGTACAAGCGCGACTTTAAAATGGCGAAACCGTTGGCGTCACCCCCAACGGCAGCTGCGAATACTCGCCCCCAACTCCACGCAACCCCCCTCCTGTCTCTTTACAACAACAATTTACACAAAACACATTCGTTACACGCGCGAACGCGATAACCGCGCGCGAAACTACGACATTGAGGGACATCGGTTGTGCAGCCGAGGTAGGCGATTGATGGGGAGGAGGTGAGGAGGGGTGAGGAGGGGTGGAAGGCCGCGAGGCCTCCGTGGAGACGGAGCGACGGAATCGCCTCGCGTTTTGTTCGTGCCCAGGAGCCGAACGAGATCGTTCCGCAACACACACACACATACACACACACTAGTTGCGGTACACCTCCATCCAGCAGTGGATAGACCAACGCGTGACGACGAAGTTATTACCTCAAAGCCTGAGGCCTTCGCGTTTTGGAGCCTGCGCGTGGGAAGCCTTCGGCCTTCCGATTTCTCGAAACAAATTCGAGCCTCCTCAGCAAGCGCCCACGAGAAACAAAAAAAACACAAATACAAATATTTACTCACGCGGGTCTCAGGGAAGCCACCTCCGTGCTCATCTCCTCACGCACGGCGAGTCCAGGCCACAAGCCGCCGCCTTCGTTAGCGCCCTTTGTCTATCGGCCAAATATCCCTGTGGGGCCCCAAGCGAGGCGGATGACGTCACGGCGGTGGCGGCGGCGGTCGTGACGTCATCGGGTTTGCTGGGGAGTGACGTCATGTATCCCGCACGCGCTGCCATTGAGGGCGTGCGCTCGTGAACCCTGAGGTTGTGCAGCCCTCGCAACCCGCAGCACCCCGCTAGGATGTCTCCGTCGTTACAGCCTGTGGGTGGGTGTCTGTGAGTGTGTGTGTGTCTGTGTGAGTCTGTGGGTGTCTGTGTGAGTCTGTGTGAGTCTGTGTGTGTCTGTGTGAGTCTGTGGGTGTCTGTGGGTGTCTGTGGGTGTGTGGGTGTCTGTGTGAGTGTGTGGGTGTCTGTGGGTGTCTGTGTGAGTCTGTGTGTCTGTGTGAGTGTGGGTGTCTGTGTGAGTCTGTGGGTGTCTGTGGGTGTGTGGGTGTCTGTGTGAGTGTGTGGGTGTCTGTGGGTGTCTGTGTGAGTCTGTGGGTGTCTGTGGGTGTCTGTGTGAGTGTGTGTGTCTGTGTGAGTCTGTGGGTGTCTGTGTGAGTCTGTGTGAGTCTGTGTGTGTCTGTGTGAGTCTGTGGGTGTCTGTGTGAGTCTGTGTGAGTCTGTGGGTGTCTGTACGAGTCTGTGGGTGTCTGTGCGAGTCTGTGGGTGTCTGTGTGAGTCTGTGGGTGTCTGTGTGAGTGTGTGTGAGTGTGGGTGTCTGTGTGAGTGTGGGTGTCTGTGTGAGTCTGTGGGTGTCTGTGGGTGTCTGTACGAGTCTGTGGGTGTCTGTGCGAGTCTGTGGGTGTCTGTGTGAGTCTGTGGGTGTCTGTGTGAGTCTGTGTGTGTCTGTACGAGTCTGTGGGTGTCTGTGTGAGTGTGTGTGTCTGTGTGAGTCTGTGGGTGTCTCTGTGAGTGTGTGGGTGTCTGTACGAGTCTGTGGGTGTCTGTGTGAGTGTGTGTGTGAGTCTGTGTGAGTGTGTGGGTGTCTGTGGGTGTCTGTGTGAGTCTGTGTGAGTGTCTGTACGAGTCTGTGGGTGTCTGTGTGAGTGTGGGTGTCTGTGTGAGTCTGTGGGTGTCTGTACGAGTCTGTGGGTGTCTGTGCGAGTGTGGGTGTCTGTGCGAGTCTGTGGGTGTCTGTGTGAGTGTGTGTGTCTGTGGGTGTGTGGGTGTCTGTGTGAGTGTGTGGGTGTCTGTGTGAGTGTGTGGGTGTCTGTGTGAGTCTGTGTGAGTGTGTGTGTCTGTGGGTGTGTGGGTGTCTGTGTGAGTGTGTGGGTGTCTGTGTGAGTGTGTGGGTGTCTGTGTGAGTCTGTGTGAGTGTGTGGGTGTCTGTGTGAGTGTGTGGGTGTCTGTGTGAGTCTGTGGGTGTCTGTGTGGGTGTCTGTGTGAGTGTGGGTGTCTGTACGAGTCTGTGCGAGTCTGTGGGTGTCTGTGTGAGTCTGTGAGTGTCTGTGCGAGTCTGTGGGTGTCTGTGCGAGTCTGTGGGTGTCTGTGTGAGTCTGTGGGTGTCTGTGCGAGTCTGTGGGTGTCTGTGCAAGTCTGTGGGTGTCTGTGTGAGTCTGAGGGTGTCTGTGTGAGTCTGTGTGTCTGTACGAGTCTGTGGGTGTCTGTGTGAATGTGGGTGTCTGTGTGAGTCTGTGGGTGTCTGTACGAGTCTGTGGGTGTCTGTGCGAGTGTGGGTGTCTGTGCGAGTCTGTGGGTGTCTGTGTGAGTCTGTGTGTCTGTGGGTGTGTGGGTGTCTGTGTGAGTGTGTGTGTGTCTGTGTGAGTGTGTGGGTGTCTGTGTGAGTCTGTGTGAGTGTGTGGGTGTCTGTACGAGTCTGTGGGTGTCTGTGTGAGTCTGTGGGTGTCTGTGTGAGTCTGTGGGTGTCTGTGTGAGTCTGTGGGTGTCTGTGTGAGTCTGTGTGAGTCTGTGGGTGTCTATGGGTGTCTGTGCGAGTCTGTGGGTGTCTGTGTGAGTCTGTGGGTGTCTGTGTGAGTCTGTGTGAGTGTGTAGGTGTCTGTGGGTGTCTGTGTGAGTCTGTGGGTGTCTGCGTGAGTCTGTGTGAGTCTTTGGGTGTCTGTGCGAGTCTGTGGGTGTGTGTGTGTTAGTTAGATATTTTAGACGTGGTTTTTGTGGTAATTTTTTGAAGGTGGAGGGGTTAACCAGCCCCTCGCACCTATCCAGAGCCCCCGTTTAGCCCCTGCGGTGGTCACAGACGCCATGAGGGGAGGAGCCAATCGGAATTGGCCCCTCCCCCCACAGCATTGTCCACGACAGAGTTGCCCGTCCGGCACCGCGAGGAGGTAGGGGCTTTGTTTTGCCGGACAACCCGGTACCGGTCCGCGGCCCCGGGGGTTGCTGTAAGCTGCAGGTCCCCTTCCCTGCCAGCAGTCGGCGCTATGCTGCTACGTGACCCATTCTATGTCACTACACATACATAAGAGTTGGTTACATCATGAGGCCCGATGGTGATTATAATTTAGACGTGTTTTTGTTTAAATTGGAATACTGCACAGTAGTTACAATTGGACCTATTGAACAATACACCACTTCGGTGGTGACGCGCAAGCGTTGAGCCTGAAACAAACTAATTGATACCCAAAGTTAAATCATGAAACATTGCCGGCACACTGCATTATGGGCAGTCCTGCATGCGTGACGCCATAGTTGCGTTGTGTTTGGTTGTCCTTCCCACGCGCCTCCGATTGAGCATCGTTCGCTACGTACGGTGCTAAAGAAGCTTCAGCATACATACATTGCATTCAAGCTCTCAACACTCCTATATGTTGAACTTCTTTCGCACCGTACGTAGTTCAGCACACCGGTGCGTTGAAGACTAAAAGCAAAGGTTGAGTGTTTAGTCTCCCAACAACACCGCGGTCTGCTGAAACAGTAACCGATTGCCACGTTTTGTTTACGTGACAAACATCACAAATTGGCCGTCTTGGGTCGTGACGGGTTTAACGACACACGTTGATATTTACGCCATCGAACCCAAAAACAAACCTCTCGTGGAGAACCTGAACACCAGTGCTGGTATTCACATGCAGCCACAATCCATGTGTAGCGACATCGTAGATGTCACTGTGTAATGCCGGCTCTAGCGAGGCACGGCGTGGGATGTACTCACATCGTGGACATCACGTGTGTAGCGACATCGTGGATGTCACTGTGTAATGCCGGCTCTAGCGAGGCACGGCGTGGGAATTACTCACATCGTAGACATCACGTGTGTAGCGACATCGTAGATGTCACTGTGTAATGCCGGCTCTAGCGAGGCACGGCGTGGGATGCGCTCACATCGTAGACATCACGTGTGTAGCGACATCGTAGATGTCACTGTGTAATGCCAGGCTCTAGCGAGGCACGGCGTGGGATGTACTCACATCGTGGACATCACGATGTACTCACATCACGGACATCACGTGTGTAGCGACATCGTGGATGTCGCTGTGTAATGCCGGCTCTAGCGAGGCACGGCGTGGGATGCATCGTCATCGCGGACACCCCGTAGGTGGGTGTAGTACCAGCGCTAGAGGGGGCTCGGTGAGCGCTGGGTCAGAGCGCTCAGTGGCACCCCGCGTTGCGTGCAGTGCTGACGCCTACAGGAGGGAGTGTGAGAGTGTCAGCCATGGGATGAGGTTACCCTAGGCCAGGGGTCGTCCGGCACCGCGACATCATTTGGTGTGGCCCTGCCAAGGTAAGCGCAGGCGGGACTCGAAATTCAATAAATCTAGGGAGCAAACCTGGAGAAGCAGTTGTGAGTAGCAGCAACACCGTCAATACCAGCTAACATCAGTACCAGCTAACATGGTCAATAGCAGCTAACATCATCAACACCAGCTAACAACATCAATACAAGCTAACATCATCAATACCAGCTAACATCAGCAATACCAGGTAACATCATCAACACCAGCTAACATCATCAATACCAGCTAACATCATCAATACCAGCTAACATCGTCAATACCAGAATAACATCATCAATACCAGCTAACATCGTCAATACCAGCTAACATCATCAATACCAGCTAACATCATCAATACCAGCTAACATCATCAATACCAGCTAACATCGTCAATACCAGCTAACATCGTCAATACCAGCTAACATCATCAATATCAGCTAACATCGTCAATACCAGCTAACATCATCAATACCAGATAAAATCGTCAACACCAGCTAACATCATCAATACCAGCTAACATCATCAATACCAGCTAACATCGTCAATACCAGCTAACATCATCAATACCAGCTAACATCATCAATACCAGCTAACATTATCAATACCAGCTAACATCATCAATACCAGCTAACATCATCAGTACCAGCTAACATCAATACCAGCTAACATCATCAATACCAGCTAACATCATCAATACCAGCTAACATCATCAGTACCAGCTAACATCAATACCAGCTAACATCGTCAATACCAGCTAACATCATCAACACCAGCTAACATCATCAATACCAGCTAACATCATCAGTGTGTGTGTCTGTGTGAGTGTGTGGGTGTCTGTGTGAGTGTGGGTGTCTGTGCGAGTCTGTGGGTGTCTGTGCGAGTCTGTGGGTGTCTGTGTGAGTCTGTGGGTGTCTGTACGAGTCTGTGGGTGTCTGCGCGAGTCTGTGGGTGTCTGTGCGAGTCTGTGGGTGTGTGTGTGTTAGTTAGATATTTTAGACGTGGTTTTTGTGGTAATTTTTTGAAGGTGGAGGGGTTAACCAGCCCCTCGCACCCGTCCAGAGCCCCCGTTTAGCCCCTGCGGTGGTCACAGACGCCATGAGGGGAGGTGGAATTGGCCCCTCCCCCCACAGCATTGTCCACGACAGAGTTGCCCATCCGGCACCGCGAGGAGGTAGGGGCTTTGTTTTGCCGGACAACCCGGTACCGGTCCGTGGCCCCGGGGGTTGCTGTAAGCTGCAGGTCCCCTTCCCTGCCAGCAGTCGGCGCTATGCTGCTACGTGACCCATTCTATGTCACTACACATACATAAGAGTTGGTTACATCATGAGGCCCGATGGTGATTATAATTTAGACGTGTTTTTGTTTAAATTGGAATACTCCACAGTAGTTACAATTGGAGCTATTGA